AACCTGCAGAAAATTTGGGTCGCACATCGGAGTACCCATCGGTCGTACACTGCTCAGGGAGTATCGATTGTGCACGGAACTAAGAAGGGGTCACCTGGGCCTTCGTGAACCGTAGGTAGCCCGTCGGGATCACGAAATAGGTCTTCATGGTAGTTTCATCCGTGAGCATGGTCACACGCAGACTCTCCAGCGTCTCAGCTCACCATCTCGCCTTCTCTGTCGCCCTCCTGGCCCAGGCCCATCAGTAGCAAGCCTAAGCCGTCCCAGACCGCACTTACCTTGGGTCTGCAAGCTCACACCGGCTCGTGATGCCACGGAGAGGGCTCGAGATTGTCTCCGGTGGACCCCATCCGAGGCGATTGCGAGGGCTTTCCGGAGGCCAACACCGGCGCCACCGACCGTGAAATGTCCCGACCCGCAGCCCTCATGCACCAGGCGCAAGGATTCAGTCATAATATGTAGGCCTTGTCTCCCGAAGTTTTGAGCAATAGCCGCAAATAGTACTTTTCGGCAGTTCATCGCGACACGTCCAGGTGCCGATGAAGCGGCTTCCCAGCTCACCACCTCGCCTTCTCTGTCGCCCTCCTGGCCCAGGCTCATCAGTACCAAGTCTGAGCTGTCCCAAACCGTCCTTATTTTGGGTGATGAAGCCCACTCTGGCTCATACCACGGCTCTTACGGCCTCACTCACGCCCGTTTCACCCACAGACACGCCGCCGGCACGCACTCCCACTTCACACATGCTCAAACACAACCCCACCAAAGCACAGCCCTGATCAGAATGGGCAAGGGCTACCACTTGGTGACCCTGGTAGCCTCTGGCTCGCCACTGCACTCGGCTCCTCTGCAGCGGTCTCGCGCTCTCGCCACGACAGCACGCCGACGGCAAGCTTTGAGGTCCGTCTGGTGGACCTGCTGTGGCCAAAGCCGCCCCTCGCATGCAGCTCGCACCAGACCTCGACACTGGGCTCGCTCAGCTTGGTTGTGGCAGCGTGTGTGAAGGATGCGCGGCCGAGCCGCTGGCGCTGCTACAGCGGCGCGAGAAGCAGGCAGCGGCGCGACACCCGGTCGGTCGAGTCTGGCCGTTCTCTCGACGCCGGCCGGCGAGGGTGGCGGCCTGTGGCCGGCTGGTGGGCGGAGAGCAGCCACAACCGGCGTGGGGGTGCTCAGGAGGCAGCGGCGGCCAAGTGTCGACACTTGCTCAAAGGCGAAAGGGGGCGTGGAGTGGGCCTTTAACGGCGGAGCTATTATCGCGCCCACACCACACCTGGCTCCAACGTGGACACGCCCATAGCTGGGGACACTACTAGGTCACGCATGGCATCAGAAGTTTTATCTCTGCACTCTTCTGGGCCCCGAAAGGCATCTCTAGCAGCGTCGTTACGCATGCGCCTCCCCTCCATGCGCCTCACACATCTCGCCAGAGCATAAGCTCTTGGTGTGCGACGACACACACACACACACACACACACACACACACACACACACACACACACACACACACACACACACACACACACACACACACACACACACATGTACATGTACACTGTTGTACACATGCACAGACACACAGTCCCTTCCCCTTCCTCAAGGGCGAGGACACGC